GGCTTAGTTATGTAAACATTCATTCCAACCTGAAACCAATGTAAGCCAATCTGATGAATGCTTTGATTTCCAAAAGTAGGCTGGTTCTGGCATGAGCTACTCCAATCTCATTATCATGCTGCATCACCATGCAGAATGTACAATACGAAGGTACAACTTGATATCTGTGATTCTCTCTTGTTGATACAACATGAAGGTGCCTTCTTAAATGTGATCGCTTCTTATGGACACAGAACACATGGACCAAACAGCACGAGCTGAACTGACGCTGTTGAGGAATGGCAGCATCGCGCAAATATATAACCACCAGATAGTCCTAGCTGGTACATCTGCTTAAACAAAGCCAAAATAATTCTACCCGCAGCAAATTAGATTGGCAAAGTGGTGAGGGAGCATATTTATCATGTAACGATGATCTTGGCCCTGGGAGACACCCTCGGCAGAGCTAATAGCTTCGTAAGAACCATGCTGCGGTCCATTTCGCCCTTCCACTCTATTCTCACTTCTTCCAAAGCAGGTGCCCAGCTCAATAGCTTTGCCACGAAATGGACTTCGTGGTCCACACCCCGGAAATCGTTCACACGGACCGTTATGAGATGGTTCATTTGCATTTGCAGGGTAAGCTCTTGAATGCTCGCCTGATCCTGATCCTGATCCCATGTGCTCCCAGGGTAATTCTGCATATATTTTTCTCACAACTGAGTAGGTGCCATAAACTCAATAAACATGGATTGAATGATCGAGGGAGGGAGAGTATTTACTGTAGGCATACGTACCCACATATCAAGGTTCTTCAACTTAGGGGCATTCTGAAACAATGAACACATGGTAAGACTTGCCTCTGGTCCCAAAAGCATATCGTAAGATAAATATCCTCCAGGCGAGTGAACACGACAGGGAGTTTCGTAAGTATGCACGCCTTTGGCAGATACTGCACCAAGAAAAAAAATGGCAACACAGATTAGACAGAAGGCAGAAGAAGGCCATAGCAATGCTGGAGCTAATATAATAGCTCACCTTCATGAAACTGCCAGAAATTCCAAGTGTTTTGATCTCACTTAGGCTTCCCAATGACTTCTTGACATGGCTTTCCTTGTCATGCGCAATTGGAGTAGATTGATATGCTTTAGATTTGTGATAATGGTAATGGAAGAGAATGGCTGCCTTCAGATTAGGGGCATCCAAATCAATGTCTTCAAAGTCCCCAGCAACTCAGGAGCCTGAATGTTTAGACGGTTGATGCCCTCAAAATAATTTAATATCAAATTGGTCAGTACAGGGCAGAATGAGATGAGATTTTGGATATCCATGTTTGTGGAGGAGAAAATTTTGAGGCTTAGGTCAGTTAGGCTCTTCAAACTGAAACCTTGGAATACCCGGGGCAAGCTGATGGTGCAGTTTTCTAGGTGCAGAGACTTCAGATGGCTGATAGAAAAGATGCACGATGGTAACCTATACCTTGGCCTTGAGTTAAACTCAATTATAATTGATCTTGTGGATCTGCTTGAAAGCATGAGCATCCACCTAGGGAACTCATCATGATAGCTTTCACTACCCGAAATATCAAACTGTTCTATAGTTCCCTTGTGGAGTGATAGCACCATATCAACCAACGTAACGAACTTAGTTCGTGTAAATTTCCCATCGCGAAGAGATATTTTTGGCATATCAGTCCATGCATCCCTCCATGTACTTGATAAGGTGCAAGTCCTAACCGCTTCTACGATATTCAAACGGGAGAGGATGTTGCCCTTTATCTCTGGAGGTAGACTGCTCAGTCTATCTGGAACAGATGTAGCTTCCCCCGTTGCCATTTTGCAGGTACTCATTGCTTCAGCATCCAGATTAAACTGTCCTAGCATTTCCAAAAGACGGGGAGCCTAAATTAGCATGAGTTCTACCACATATCACTACAAATTTGATACATGCAGAAAATTAAATGGTGCAGTGTGTAAGTTGCTTGTTCGTGGCAAAAATAAAAATAAACAACAGCCAGAAGATGGGAGTTTCAGGAAACAAGTCCAGGCGGCATGTTTCTATTAACAGAACAGAACTCGACTGCTGTTGTTGGTAAGCAAAAAAGCTTGATGATTCCAGCATTAAATGTAAGCATGATCAACATGTGGTAGCTGAAATTCATGGTTACCCATCACGACAGTCCTAGTCGGAACGATTATGTGTGGCAACACTAGGTACAAGGCTAGGTTCCAAATCTTTCTTACCAGATCAGTATGCTGGCTAGGAAAAGATTAATTCTGCGAGATTAGCACTGCAGAGGTTAGAGAATATAAAAGCAATGTAAAGAACAGAGTACTACACTGAAGAACAGAGTACTAAACAAGCATGTGAAGAGCATTAAGATTAACTAGAGCCCAGTCTAATCTCCTTGCCACACACAATTTTGCTAGTCATTAGTTAGTCCTTACGGAGCAATATGATAACTGACAGAACCATACAAGCCCCGAAACTGTTCAGCTACACATAGAAAACGGAATTGAGCATGATGTATCATAGATTCATGTGGCTGATCACTATCTTGAAACTGTTCAACATATAGAAGTACTGGCTTTTCAATAATTTTCTTGAATTCGCTGCAAACAGGTCTCAAATTTCAACTGCATCGAAACAGGAAGCCACATTAACTCACGGGGTGTTGCTGTAGGGGTGTGCGGAAGAACGGGACAAGGCGACGCTGCTCGCCTGCTACGGCCTGCTGCTAAGCAGCAGCGCAGAGGCCAGAGGACGCCGCCACGACGCCGCGCCGCCGGCCCCTGCTGCCGTGCCATCTCTAGGGTTCGATTTTCAGTTGGGTTGCGGTTGCTCTGGGAGATTTCAGAGATGGGCTATATCGGGGTGGGGCTAGCACTAGTACTTATCTTGGGCTGAATGTTTACATAGTCTGACATTCATGATACATACATTTTTTTTCTCATACCTAAAAAACATTTTACCCTTAAAAAAGCCTAAAAAACATTTTTTTCCTTAAAAGAAATATACATGATTTTTTTTTTGGCAAAAATAATGTGTACTTCAACTGACAATGGGTGATTTGGGACATAACAGTGCAGAGCTCCACGGGAGGGAAGGCGATTGGCGGCGTGAGTTTCGGTGGAGAGACACAATGAGAGGGGAGTGGGTAAACTGGGGGAGAACGGGACGTGGAGTTTCTACACCCAGGAGCAAATGCTCCTGGTGTGAACAGTAGTATAAAAAAATCAAAAAAATTCAAAAAATTCTGAATTTTTTTTGTGGCATACTTTCACAAATGTTACTTGTGCATGCAGAATTTCATCACAAAATCACATTGGTGGAAGGCGTGGTAAAAAAAAATCGATGCTCAGAAAATGTTATTTACAAAAGCATTTTGGAGCTTTGATTTTGTTTTTTTTTTTTCACGACTTGCACCAATGTGATTTCGTGATGAATTTTTGCATGCACGACAAATATTTGTGAAAGTATGTCCCTAAAAAATTTCAGAATTTTTTGAATTTTTTTTTGATTGTACTGTTCACACCAGGAGCATTTGCTCTGGGTGTAGAAAGGTACTTCCGGGGAGAACGCCTTTATCGTGAAATCAAGGCATACAAGGTGATTGGGTTGGAGGGATGTGGCAAGTGACATTTTGTTCCTACATATTCCAGTTTGTGCATAAAACTTTGTAGAAACCGATTTATCTAAGCAAGCTCAATAATGGAATGTAATATTCACGGCTCAAAAAGGGGGTACTCGTGAGGTTAGGGGTATCTACGCCTTTCCATCTTGATTTGTGGCTAGAAAGTGCGAGATCAGCCGGTTGATTTAAAGAGTTTTTTTATAATTAAACAACACAAGTTATGGTAAAGAGAAAATGGTATGTCTCGTGTAGTGACTCTTCCTAGGGTTTGTTTGTTTGAATGTATGGAATTTTTTTAAACACGGTTTTGAAAAGCCACCGTATTTAGATATACCAAGAAATGTTTTGACACTTTTAGTAATAAATAGGAAAACGTTTCTGGCCGGACGACCGGCTAACATTTTTCGGCCGGTCCCGCACCGCTCACCACTCGCACACACTACGTCGATGCCTTCTTTTTTTTTCCTTGCACGAACCGCCTGCTCCCCTCCTTATCTTCTTCCGCGCAAGCACAACCACTAGTTATCCCCTCATTTCCCGTCTTTCCTCATGCGCCGGTTCATTTTTTTTCCCAAGCTTGCCCGATCTCGCCGTGGCTACCAATATTTTTGTTGTTGCGCAAGAAAGCACCCACCAGAGGGGCGACGCCGTTAAGGGCTGTCGGTGCTCGCACCAATCGAGGGTTGCCGCTGCGATGTCATCCCGTCGTTGTTGCGGAGCCAAGAACGATGGCGCGGTTCCCCGGGGCAGCCATTGTTGCGAGCCAAGCACAAGAGTTGCGTCAGCCATGGAGGGAATGTTGGATGCATGTTGCAACCGGCCGACGTAGGAGTTGGGACCATCGAGGCGAGAAGTTGCAAGCAGTTTCAACCGGTGTTAGAACCAGACGGCCCATCATACGGCGCGAGATCATTTTTGCTCGAACCGACGACATTTTTTGTTGGAACCGGTAAGATTTTTTGCTGGCACTGTCGAAATATTTTGTTGCGATCGGCGGAGATGACACATTTTTGCTGGAACCATATTAATTTTTGGTGGAACCAGCGAATGATTTTGCTACGGCGGTGACTTCTGAAGTTTTCTGTTGCTTGAGATTTTTTGCTACGACTGGGCGGCGCCGACGCATTTTTGCTGGAACCGTATTAATTTTTGCTGGAACCAGCAAATGATTGCGGCGGCGACTTCTGGAGTTTTTTGTTGCTTGAGATTTTTTGCTACGACTGGACGGCGGCGACGCATTTTTGCTGGAACCGTATTAATTTTTTGCTGGAACCAGTAATATTTTTTTGCTTCAAGGGATTTACTAAGATTGCTAGTTGTTCATGTCGTTTTGCTGGAAACTGCTATTTTTTTGCTGGAACCCGTTTTTGGGTTTGCTGCAACTGACCACTGCAGTTGTTTTTTGGTTGAGATGTGTTTTTTCGCTCGAATCTGGTGGTGCAGGTCAATGGCGGCGGTGATCTAGAAGCGGCGGCGCCGTGCTATGGTGGGCAGCGCGAGTTGCTGGAATGAAAGTTTGACAGAGCTGCATCCAGCAGGTGGTGATGCTGGAACGACGACAAGATGAGGAAGGCGTGTGACGACGGCGAATTGGAGCTGCGGAGAGCTGCGGAGAGATAAGTTCGGTCCTTTCGAATTTAACCAGGTCAGGTACAGCACAAGACAACACCTAGAGCCAGGCAATAGGGCCCATAGGCCACAGAGAAGGCCAAATATATATTTGATTAACACTTGAATAAACAGTTTTGGAAAAAAAATGAAGCAAAAATTGGATCAATGTGGGTAATGCAATAGGTAATATTAAACAGTGTGTGAGCATTGACAATTCATTATAATCTAAAATCAACACAGGCCGATCTGATGAATGCTTTGATGTCAAAAGGTAGAGTTGTCAGGCATGAGCTGCTTTTTTTAATCTCAAAACACTTCAGGCTTCATACATCTACACATGCAGAAAGTACAATACCAAGGTACAAGTTTGATGTCTTTGGTTCACATCTTGCTGATACAACATGAAGGTGAATGCGATCACTTCTTTTACAGATATCCGCTAAAACCAGGAATCTACCATACACAGAACACAAGGACAAAACAGGATAAACTGATCAGACGCAATTAAGGAAGGGCAGGGGCTGTGGCGTGCAGAGTCCCCAGTGTGTGGATGAATGACAGCAGCTGCTTGCGTGACCTCGGTTGCGCAAGGGAATGGAGTGTTTCACATGGAAAATACTTGCTGATAGCACATTAAGTACCCCCACCGAATGTTGTCAACAAAACACACTAGCTCTACCTAGATGGGGCATTCGCAACAACAAAGACGAAATAGTTCTACTCAGCAGCAAATTAAACCGGCAAAGTGATGGGGATTATGCACTGCAGACTGTATGGATGCATGCCTATCAAAATGTAACAATGACCTTGGCCCTGGGAGATACCCTCGGCAGAGTTAATAGCTTCGCAAGAACCCTGCTGCAGTCTGTTTTGCCCTCCCATTCTATCTCCAATTCTTCCAAAGCTGGTGCCCACCTCAGTAGCTTTGCCACGAAATCAACTTCATAGTCATGACCCGCGAAACCTTCCAAACTGGCCGTTACGAGATGGTCCATTTGCAATTGCACGGTAAGCTCTTGAATGCTCGCCTGATCCTGATACCATGGGCTCGAAAAGCGACTCTGCATTTTCTTTTCACAACTCATTAGGTGCCGTGAATACAGGAATGAACATGGGTCGTGGAGAGGATTGACTGGAGGCATACGTACCCGCATGTCAAGCCTCTTTAGGTTAGGGGCATTCTGGAACAATGAACAAGCGGTCAAGACTTGCCACTCGTCCCAAAAGCATATCGTAAGATAAATATGCTCCAAGCGAGTAAATACAGCAGGGAGCTTCATAGGTATGCACCCTTTTGATAGATGCTGCAACAAGAAAAGAAATACCAACACAGATTAGTCAGAAATCATAAGACAGAAGAAGGGCATAGTAATCTTGGAGCTAGCAATAGCCCACCTTCAGGAAAAAAGCCAAAAAATGCAAGTTGTTTTATGTCACTTACGCTTCCCAATGACTTCTTGACATAGTTTTTCGTGTCATGAGCAATTGAAACAGATTGATATGCTTTAGCTTTGGGATTAAGAGTGAGAACGGCCCATTCTAGATTAGGGGCATCCAAATTAATGTCTTCAAAGCCCCCAACAACTTCAAGATATTCCAGTTCAGGAGCTTGAATATTTAGACACCTGATGCCCTCAAAACGAACTAATCTCAAATCAGTCAGTACGGGGCAGAACGAGATCAGATTTTGGATGTCCATGTCCGTGGAGGAGAAAAGTTTCAGGCTGAGGTGAGTTAGTCTCTTGAAACCTTGGAATACCCGGGGCAACAAGATGGTGCAGTTTTCCATGTGCAGAATCTTCAAATTGCCGATAGAAAACAGGCATGAGGGAATCCTATACTCCGGCAATGAGTTCAACTTGATTATAATTGATCTTGGTGATCTCCTTGACAGCATGAGCATCCACCTAGCAAACTCATAATGGTAACTTTTGTTACCTGATATATTAAACTCTTCTATGGTTCCCTTGTGGAGTGCTAGCACCATATCTACCAACGTAACAAACTTGGTTTGTGCAAGCTTTCCATCTTGCAGAAATATTTTTGGCATATCAGTCCATGCATTCCTCCAAGTACTTGATAAGATGCTAGTCCTAACCACTTCTTCGACAAGCAAACGAGAAAGGATATCACCCTTTATCTCTGGAGGTAGACTGCTCACTCTGTCTGAACTCACAACAGATGTAGCTTCCGCTCCGGCCTTTTCACAGGTACTCATTGCTTCAGAATCCAGATTAAACTGTCCTAGCATTTCCAGGGAGCCTAAATTAGTGTGGATTCTACCACATAACACTTAAAATACGAAACATGGGAAAACTAAATGGTGCACTAAGTAAGTTGCTTGTTCCTAGCAAAACGAAAACGAAGCAACAACCGAGAGATGGCATTTGAGCGAAACAAGTCCAGTATGTTTCTGCTAATAGAACTGAACTCGACTATTGCGTCAATAAGCTGAAAAACTTGATTATACTTGTGTTAAAAGAGCAAACATGTGGCATGCTGCATTCTGAAAGGGGTCATTTGAAGAAGATGTGATTAATTTTTTGAAAACCTTGTATCGCAAAATATCCAATGGACGAACAATGTAGGGTATATAATTGATATGCTGTCAACATGGGCAAATGATGAAATGCAACTCTGCTTCAGGACAGAGTCAATTTACCCCAGAACAGGCCCTCCTTTATTAACATAGATGTGGACTTGCACTCAAATTATTCAGGTGCAACAATGTGTTTACTCAATATAAGCATGATCAACATGTACTAACTTAAACTCATGATTACGTGTGGATTAACTTAAGGCCATGTACTAACAGTTAATTAATCTTTCTTAGCGAATGAAATATGCTAGGAAAATAATAATTCTGGGGAAATTAGCACGGCGGAGCTAGAGAATTCAACATAAATAACAGGGTACTAAATTGGATTCAGTTAAGCAACAGAATCTAAACAAGCATGTGAACAACTGACTCACAAACAAGCACGCATGGCTGGCCTGTCAGTAATTCATGAATCCACCGCAAACAGGTCTCGAATTTCAATCGAACTGGAAGTGGAAGCAAAACGAACCTACGAAGTGTCTCAGTTGCTGCAGGGGCGCCGAAGAACGGGGAACCTACGAAGTGTCTCAGTTGCTGCAGGGGCGCCGAAGAACGGGGGGAGGCGACGCCGCTTGCGCGCGGGCGCTGCCGCCAGACGGAGCGCAGAGATCAGAGGGTCGAGGAATGGATGCAGGACGCCGGATGCCCACGCCGCCGCGCCGCCGGCCGACGCGGCCGTCCGGTGTCTAGGGTTCGAATTTGCTGGTTGCGCCTGCGACTCTGCGCTGTGGCGATGGGGAATTTCAGAATTGGGCTTGAGGAGAGACTGGGCCAGATCGGAGTAGGTAGGGAAGGATGGGCCAGTTCTGGGCTGAATGCTTAGATAGTCTGCCATACTTTTTTTTTTTGGTTTCTCAAAAGATATACATATACCCCTCAAAAAAAAGATACACAGATTTTTTGGGCAATCCCTAAAAAATTATATATTTTGGGTGCAAAAACAATGTGTATTCTTTTTTTTAGTTGGAAGTGTTGCATTTATTCAGAGTCCGAGTTTAAAGCATCCATAATACAAGATATGAAACCATGATTTGCATAGTTCATTTGTCCAACCTTCCTTAGCTAATAAGTGAGAGACGCTATTAGTCGAGCCTCTCACCCACAGAGACCCAATACCCCTCCATGGTAAGGAGCACACCTTTCACCTCCTCTACAAGTGCTCCATATATGGAGAGATCCCGTTCTTTTGCCTTGAGTTTGTTCACAATCATTTGTGAGTCTGATTCTGGCACCAGCTTTTTCGCTCATTATCTATTGCAACGCAGCCACCCTGTAAACACGTCAATAGCTTCACCAACTTAGGGTCCAAAGCAGAAGGGAAAGAACAGCAAGTCTCGCCAAGGAACCCGCCATGGTGATCTCTCAAGACCGCCCCTCCTCTTCCTCTAACTCGGGTCTTCGGCATCGCACCGTCCGTGACAGATTTAATCCATCCCTCATCTAGAGGGGGGAAGTGCTCCGCCAATTGGGACTAGCGATTTGCCTCCCTTGGTTCCTTTGTTGATTGCCATTCCTCGATGAAGAACTAAACCCCCATAGCTATAGCTTCCGGATCATTGATCTTGTCGCCGCCCACCTCATTTTTGGCGAGCCACAGTTGATAGATGGCTTGAAGGATCACCGATTCTCCATGTCCCCCGCCTTACCCGGCCACTCGAGCATCTAGTTACATAGCTCGCACTAGGAGTAGACAGAACTCAATAGTGTGTCAATGGGTGCACTACACATGGCCAAAGGGGCTTTTCAAACCGTGTGTATTCAACTGACAATGGGTGGTTTGGGACATAGCAGTGCAGAGCTCTAGGGGAGGGAAGGCCATTGGCAGCGTGAGGTTCAATGGAGAGAGAAAAGGAGAGGGGATTGGATAAACTGCGGGATTCCTGTCGCCTTGAATCTATTTTTTTTACAAGGAGGTCACTTCAATCTTCAAACTTTCTGACCTGACACCATCGAGGAGACAATTTCCCCACTTTCGAAAAACAACAAAGATAATTTCCCTAATTCTTTATGTGGTGTAATGTTGCTTATTGCCCATGGCTCTTGTCGCATTTGGTGAAAGGATGGTTAGTGAACCCCAAGTCATACGATCAACAATTAGGTCATGTTGCGGTCTGTGCACAAAGTTTGTAGCAAGTGATTTATCTAAGCAAGTTCAATACTAGAATGCAATTTTCTCACTTAAAAAAATGGTTACCATGGATTCTGGGGTATCTATGTCTTTCTGGCTTGATTTTTGGTGTGAAGATGATACTATGTTTTCTATGCTTGTCACCCAATACACTAGGGTTTTGAACTCCAGTGGTGTGCTTATTTTCTCCCCTTCTTCCCTTGATCTTCCTCTTCAACCTCCCCTTTCATCCATGGCTGCCTATAAGCTATAGTCGTCGCATCATTTTTGGCTTCAATTACCCTTAATTAGTGGGACAAAGGTTTGAGTTTCTCGACTTTATGGTTGATGCAAGCTATAATGAGGAGACCATCGCAACATTTTCTTCTTTTTTTGACCAATTTTCTCGATGATCATGATGAAATTCAAACAAGGCTATTTTCCATTTCTCACACATCGGGCATATGTGAACTCATATATGAACTCAATTGGTTGACACGGTTAGAGATAACAAGTATTAGTAGTTGACATAACATTATTCATGTGGTCTCAAATTCACCTTAAGGTGGGCGTATTCAAGGCAAATGTCCACATGAGCATGTGGTGCCGATGACGGGTGGTCTAGATGGTCTCAAATTCGCCTTAAGGTAGTTATTTGATCCATTTGTTCAAGTTTGGTTGTGTACCTCTATGTTGACATATGATTAAATTAAAACAAGTTATGCTTATGAGAAAATGGTATATCTCCTTCAATGACTCATCCTAGGGTTTGTTCGTTTGGATGTAGGGTAATATTATTTTAAATGTGCTTTTGAAATACCACCATACATGAAGAAGTGTTTGACAATTTCAGTGCCAAATAGCAAATTGGCCCACACCCACACGATTGCACGGGCAATATCTTCAGTCGATTAAAATTCTATATTACAAACCTTTTTTGAAAATATATTTTGAAGACTCTAACAAAATACAGAAAATATAGTGTAAATTATTGAAAATAAAATAACCACGCCAGGAATAGCACAAGACAACACCTTTCAAATTTTCCCTCTCGAGCCAGGCAATAGGGCCCATATCATCTAATTCATGAGTATAATGTTTAAAGCCATTAAAAGCAAGCCCATTGTAGACACTAATGGTGAGAACAATAACTGGCTAGTAGCTTTGGCTCATTCCAATAGCGGGATTTGATTAACACCAGATTAAATAGTTATTAATTGGTTAAAGTTGGTAGAAGTAAAAACTGGTTCCTGTTCACCTCAACATGAGAAAACCATATTGAATAATATTGGAGCAACATTTTAAAAGTGACAGTGATATATAGAAATATTTCCCTTATAAAAAAATAGAATAGGGGATGTAGGAGCATTAGATTCATTACAACCTGAAACCAATGTAAACCAATCTGATAATGCTTTGATTTCCGAAAGTAAAACTTAAACCAATCTAGCATGAGCTGCTTTGATCTCATTACTTCATGTTGCATGTCCACACATGCATAATGTACAATACGAAAGTACAATTTGATGCCTTTGATCCACATCTTGTTGATACAACATGAAGGTGTCTTCCTAAATGTGATCAGATCTCATGGACGCATATACTTGCTACAACCAGGAATGTACCAGACAGAACACAGGCACAAAACAGGTCAAGATGAACTCACGCCATCGAGGAACGACGGCAGTGGTTTGCGGCGTTTCATAGGGAAAAAAACTTGCTGATAGCACATTAAGTATTCCCATCGAATGTTAAACAAAACACACTATGTCTACCTGATAATTTGCGTCCAATGCACACAAATATATAAGCACCGGATAGTCCTAGCTGGTAGATCCGCATAAACAAAGCAAAAACAACTCTACCCGCAGCAAATTAGATCGGCAAAGTGACGAGGGAGCATAGTATCATGTAACAATGATCTTGGCCCTGGGAGACATCCTCGGCAGAGCTAATAGCTTGGTAAGAACCATGCTGCGGTCCATTTCACCTTTCCACTCTATTTTCACTTCTTCCAAAGCAGGTGACCAGCTCAATAGCTTTGCCACAAAATCGATTTCGTAGTCCAAACCCTGGGAACATTTCACACTGGCCGTTACGAGATGGACCATTTGCATTTGCTCGGTAAGCTCTTGAATGCTTGCCTGATCCTGATCCCTTGTGCTCGAAGGATGACTCTGCATATATTTTTTCTCACAACTGATTAGGTGTCGTAAACTGAACGAACATGGATCCGATGATCCAGGGAGGGAGAGGATTTACTAGAGGCGTACGTACCCACATATCAAGCTTCTTTAAGTTAGGGGCATTCTGAAGCAATGAACAAGTAGTTAAGACTTGCCTCTGGTCCGAAAAGCTTATCACAAGATAAATATGCTCCAGGCGATGAAACACGGCAGGGAACTTCGTAAGTATGCACCCTTTTTGATAGATACTGCAACAAGAAAATAAAATAAAAGAAGTGGCAACACAGATTAGTCAGAATGCAGAAGAAGGCCATAGCAATGCTGGAGCTAATAATAGCTCACCTTCATGAAAATGCCACTAATTGCAAGTGTTTTGATGTCAGTTAGGCTTCCCAATGACTTCCTGACATAGCTTTCCATGTCATGAGCAATAGGAACAGATTGATATGCTTTAGCTTTGGGATCAAGAGATAGAAAGGCCCATTCTAGATTAGGGGCATCCAAATTAATGTCTTCAAAGCCCCCAACAACTTTAAGATATTCCAGTTTAGGAGCTTGAATGTTTAGACACCTGATGCCCTCAAAACGAACTAATCTCAAATCAGTCAGTACAGGGCAGAATGAGATCAGATTTTTGATGTCCATGTCTGTGGAGGAAAAAAGTTTCAGGCTGAGGTGAGTTAGTCTCTTGAAACCTTGGAATACCAGGGGTAACCTGATGAATGCAGATTTTGTGAGCTTATGCACCCGGGCCTCACTATCCTAGCACTCCAATGTTGCTTTGAGATCTGTGCTACACAACTACCTTATTACATGAAATTTTCTCTTTTTTGTTCCTCTCATATAAAACATGTCTTGAACTTCAAACTTTGCAGTACAACATAACTTTGTAACTAGAATGTGAGATAAAACTTTCAGATTTTTTTGTCCAACATAAATATGAAAAGTAAGATTTTTTAATCAAACAAATCTCATTTTGTATATTTATGTTGGACCAAAAAATCTGTAAGTTTTATCCCACATTCTACATAGAAAGCTTTGTTGTGCTGCAAAGTTGAAGTACAAATACATGTTCTATATGAGAGAAATAAAAAGGAGAAAATTATTTGCACGAATCGTGATGCAGGAATGAGTGGTTGGATAAGGAGTACCCGGGTGCATAGGCTCTAAAACATGTTTTCGGTAACCTGATGGTGCAGTTTTCCATGAGCAGAAACATCAAATTGCCCATAGAAAATAGGCATGAGGGAATCCTATACTCTAGCCCTGAGTTCAACTTGATTATACCTGATCGTGGTGATCTCCTTGACAGCATGAGCATCCACCTAGCCAATTCATCATGGTAACTTCTTTTAACTGATATATAGAACTCCTCTATGGTTCCCTTGTGGAGTGATAACACCATATCGACCAACGTAATGAACTTGGTTCTTGTAAAATTTCCATCACGCAGACATATTACTGGCATATCAGTCCATGCATCCCTCCAAGTACTTGACAAGGTACTAGTCCTAACCGCTTCTTCGACATTTAAACGTGAGAGGATGTCGCCCATTATCTCTGGAGGTAGATTGCTCAGTCTGTCCGAACTCACAATAGAAGTAGCTTCGCCCTGGCCTTTTTACAGGTACTCATTGCTTCAGAATCCAGATTAAACTGTCCTAGCATTTCCAGAAGACAGGGAGCCTAAATTAGCTTCCAGTCTACCGCATATAACTAAAAATAGATTACTTGCAGAAATTAAATGGTGCACTAAGTAAGTAGCCTGTTCATAACAAAACAAGAAATAATTAACAGCTGAGAGATGGCAGTTTAGGGAAACAAGTCCAGCATGTTACTATTAACAGAACTGAACTTGGCTATTGCATTGGTAAGGTGAAAAGCTTGATTATCATTTGACATGTGTTACAAAACCCTAATTTGCGATCTTGAAGAGCAAACATGCCCCCTGCTGCAAGCTGGAAAGGGGTTTCTTTTGTTGAATACATGTGCGGTCATTCGAAGATGTGATTAAATTTGAAGAAAAAAAACTTGTATTGCAAAATATCGACTGGGCATAAAATATAGGGTATAACTGAGAGGCTCTCAACATGGGCAAATGATGAAATGAAACTCTAGTTGAGGACAGAGAGTCAATTTACCTTCCTTTCTTAGCGTGGATGTGGACTTGGACTCAAATTATTCAGGAGCAACAACATGTTTAATTTCAAAATTCACTATAAGTATGATCGGCATGTACTAACTTAAAGCCGTGTACTAAGTGCTAGAGTAGGTTCCAATTGACAATTAACTAATCTTTCTTACCAAATGAAATACACTAGGAAAATATTGATTCTGAAAAATTAGCACCGCAGAGCTGAAGAATTAAAAAAAGCAATGATTCAGTTAAGCAACTGAATCTAAACAAGCATGTGAACAACTGGTAGGAGCTGGGACCCTACCGGGTCTAGGGCGTAGGTTGTAGGGGAACGAGGGGGCTGGACGTGGCGAAGCTCGCGGTCGCCGGCAGCAAGGTGCCGTCGTGCGCGAGAGGGAGAGGTGGCGGCGGCGCAAGAGGCGGCTAGGGTTAGGTCTCCCGGCCCCCTAAGGGAAGCCGAGCAAATAATGATTGCTTCTTTGCTTGATTAGATTGATACATCTTCTCTCCTTATATAGAGAGGTTTACTTAACTCCTAAGCAAACGATCCTAATAACGATAAGATAATTGGGCTAAGCCCATAATAAAAATAAGATAACTTGGGCCACAATCCACTGGGCTAAGCCCCTAATATGCCGGTCATAACAACAACTGAATCTCGCTAGTCGGCAATACTCACGGAGCAATCCGATAACCCACATAACATGTCCCATGTCGCAAGAAAAAAAGGGGTTTCTTTTGTTGAATACATATTTGGTCATGTGAAGAAGATGTGATTAAAATTTGGAAGGAAAAAACTTGTATTGCAAAATATTGACTGGACAAACAACATATAGGGTATATAACTGTCAACGTGGGCAAATGAACAAATGCAACTGTAATTCAGCACAGAGAGTCAATTTACCACAGAAACAGGCCCTCCTTTCTTAACCTAGACGTGGAGCAACACGTGTTTAGTTTCAACATTCACTATAAGCATGATCAACATGTACTAACTTAAAGCCGTGTACTAAGTACTAGAGTGGGTTCCAACTGACAAATAACTAATCTTTCTTACCAAATGGAATACGCTAGGAAGATATTAGTTCTGCGAAACTAGCACTGAAGAGCTAGAGAATAAAAAAAAGCAACGTACTTCCTCCGTTTCTAAATATAAGTCTTTTTAGAGATTCCACTATAGCGGATATACGAAGCAAAATGAGTGAATCTACATTCTAAAATATGTCTATATACATCCGTATGTAGTTTATAGTGGAATATGTAAAAAGACTTACATTTACGAACGAAGGGAGTAAATATTAGGGTACTAAAGTGAATTCAGTTAAGCAACTGACTCTAAACATGCGAATCTCGCTAGTCGCCGATACTCACGGAGTAATCCGATAACCCACATAACTTGACCATGCGGGCCTCATGCATGGCTCATTTTACACAATTCATGAACCAAAGCAAGTCTCGAATTTCAAGCATTTGGGAACAGGAAGCAAAGCGAACTTACAAAGAGCGCTCAGTTGCTGCAGGAGCGCCGGGGAACAGGGAGAAGGCGACGCCGAGACGAAGCGCACAGGCCTTGGGCTGCCGCCGAGACGGAGCGCAGAGGCCAGAGGGGCGAGGAACGAAGGAAGGACGCCGGATGCCTACGCCGGCGCGCCGCGGCCGTGCGGTGCCTAGGTTTCGAAATGGTCTGCGACTCGTGGTCTCTCTGCGCTGCAGGCCGGGGATTTCAGAATTGGGCTTGAGGAGAGACTGGGCCATATTGGGCCATATTGGGCAATCAGGGCGGTCCAGGCGACTGGGTTGGACTTTTTTTAGGCGACTGGGTTGGACTTGAAATTTTGCTCGTTACATAGGACCATTTTTTTTCGGGGATTCCCATCGGCCTAACACCGTTGTATGCAAGAATGTCACCTTCAAATTTTGAAGCTGCCACACCGAGGAGACTATTTCCCCGCTTCAATCAAGAAATAAAAGAGAGAATCTCCCAGATTTTTTGTGTTGTAAGGTTGCTTATTGCCTGGCTCTTGCCGCGTTTGGTGCATGAATGTTGTTTTATATCAATAAGACTTTATTTCTCAAATGATAAAGATGTCATTTACAAGAAGTTGAGAAATAAAATCAGGAACAAAACTTTTTCAAAAATCAGAAGATCTGCATCAGCGACTTCGTTTTGACCATTAAGCGCGGGCGTGTGTAGGAGGAAATCAGGCTGCCCCAGCTAATTGCCCGTTTTTTACTGAACCAACTTTGTAGAGAGCATCAGAGAAGCAAGTGTCGGTGTGGTGGTTAGGAATGCGGCTGGGGAAGTCATTGTCTCTTCTTGGGACTTCATTGGATCGTGTCAAAGTGTGGAGGAAACAGTGCTAAGGGCATGCATTGCTGGTCTATACATAGGTATACCTCTCCACAATCCTATTATTTTAGAGACTGATTGTGCGTTTGTTGTGGCGACTCTTGCAACAGAGAACCTTGATAAGTCATCCTTGGTCGATTTGAAGAAGGAAGCACTGAGCTTATCTAAGCTGATAAACAACTTTCAAATGGCTAAGATTAGTCGATCCGCCAATGTGATGGCTCATCTAATAGCAAAATTTAGTTTTGACAATAGATCCGATGGTATTCTTGTTAATGATGTACCGCCCTGTGTGGTGAATTTTATATCGAACGATTGTAAGTTTCGCACTGGTTAATTAATGTAAGGTGGTGTTCAAAAAAAAGAAAATTACATATTTTTCTATTTCTTTATAAAATCTGAAATCTGAAAAGATCTTTGTCAGTCAGGTGCACAGCATCTTCTGCAAACGTTAAGTTTCCTCAAGAAAATAGCTTAGCTTGCCCAGAAGGCAGGAAAACCGCTAGTAAGTAGTAACTCAATTGCTCCAGAAGGGATTCTAACATATTCAATCGAAAACACTTGGTTGTTATCAAAAGCATTCGGATGACGGTCAACCGGGTGGGTATGACATGACTGCAGATCAATGTCCCAAACGACCATACCAACTTCTTCCAGCGTCTCCATCTCACCTACTCAAATTTTAATAGTGGAGCATTGAGCGGCCAGCCACAATGTGCTCCTTCTTCACTGGTTTTCAGAACTACATCTCCAAATTTCGACACGGAAGACACGCTGACCCTTTGGGAGAACAAATGCAATATAGCACATAATAAATAAAATTGGAATTGACCTGCAACGGAATCAAAGAGAGGAGATAACAAATCTGTTGTAGATTGAGGAGCGGACTCTTGGGCGCAGAGGTTCAGCGGAGGTACCGCTCAACGGGGTTGTTCAGAGGCCATGGTCGGCAAAGGAGAGAGGTTGTGGCCCCGCTCGCAGGTGGCCGCCCCACGTGCGTGCATATACCCGGCGGTAGCATCCCTCGCATCCCTCTCGTCGGCGACTACCTGATCAACTCGGACCGGGAGGACTGAGGCGATG